CAAAATGCTGTAGTTATGAATGGGTTATTAATCACTGACTCTCCAAATTGTTCAAAGCCGCAGATTCGTTCACTAATGAAACACCTCTGTATGTTGTTTGGAGACGCACACCAGATGATACGGATTTCGTTGGAACTATTATTTAGTTGCAAAATAGAACAAACATGACAATATTCTGTTTAAAATGTAGGCTATATTTAAAAAGTAAAATGTTCACTTAATATTACCTTTTTTTGTTGAACTGTTGAAAAAATTAATGGCACATTTGCCATCGTTTGGATATTCATGGAAATTTGCATTCTTGCTCGTATCTTAAACATGAAAACATTAACACACACAGAGTGTGTCTGTATCGAATAGAGTTTAAATCGAACTCAGTCCATGTCAATATTTGCTCTTCATGCTATTAAGTGAAGTCACTTTAAGTTGGGGTAGAATTAAATGAATGCCAAAACTCAGAATTTTGTTCACGTACCCCCTAGGGATGTGCGCGACGACTAATTTGACTTTCGTTTAAACGAAAGTTTTGTATCCGACTAGTCAACTAGTCTAAAAGTAAGAAACCCCCAAAAGATGGATAAGCCTGCAGCACTTGCCGGTGTGTTCGACTAGAAGAGGTGCGATGCAGATCGATCAGTGTTTAATATCAGGTAGGCCTATTTTAACATAACTTTGTGTGTATGTGAAAGAGGAATCAATTCGCAGTTCATGCGGTGTCTCTCTCTCTGCGTGCGCGCTTCGGGTGTGCGACAGCGGCTAAGCGCACAGAAAACAGTGCGCAAGTTAAAATTGCTTGAATGTGTAAACTGGCAAGACAAAACATGTGCAAATTATAAACTTTAACTCTATGATGGTTAAACGTAACAGTTAATCCGCGAATCACATGCGTGCCGAACCGTGCAGCCTGATCCGTACGGATCACGGATCATCTACGATCCGTTGCACCCCTATTTGTTTGTGATTTATGTAGGATAGGCTGTGACTGATGTCATGTGCGTTACAAGCTTGGGATGTTGTTTCAGAAGAGTGCTTGTGTGTGTGTGTGTGTGTGTGTGTGTGTGTGTGTGTGTGTGTGTGTGGTTTCCTACAAAGAAATCTATAAAGTCCAATAGGTTTCAACCCTGTATAACATTGCTGAATAAATAATCAATTATACACATCTTTACATATATAAATCACAGTTCGTATCAATATACATTTAATGATTACAAATAGCCTAATGATTAAAAATAAGAACAAAGATTACAAATACACAACATAAAATATGTAGCTGAAGCATGTCCTATATAAACACCATAGTCCCTGCTTATTAATGTAACTAACAATCAGGTACACAAATAAAGATGCAAACAGAATATATTACTTTGTGGTAATGAGAAAACAACTTTTGTTATGTCGACATTAGCAGAAAATTAAGACATGATAATGAAAAAAATAAGTTGTGATTACAAGAAAGCAAGAAAAATAAAAATGATCTATGGCTTCTGTAGAAAAAAATCTAGGCCTATGTATTTAGTTTTTTTTAGTGCTGGGCAACGATTAAAATTTTTCACATTGTTATGCACAAAATTCAATAATGAATTCAAAAGTAGTGTATTGTGCACTTTTTCATTTAAAAGTACTGCTATATGAACAAAAGTGCAATAACATTTGTTTTGCAAACACTTTAAACAAATAAGGTGCTTTTTTACAGCAGTATTCCTTTTACATGGTAGCAGTTAAAATATTTCTTGTAAATCTAATATTATACCATTAATGTAATCAAATTAAATATAAAACCAAAGCTATTTGCCACTGCCAGGGCATTAAAGTTTTTATAGAAAATATTTTACAGTTTGTTATAGAAAAACAAGTTATGCTCAGAGTCCAGAGCCTCGATCTCGATCATAACATTATAACAGGCACCTTCCGATAGGGGTGCTCCGATCAGGGTTTTTGAGGCCGATCACAGAAAGCAGTATCTACCGATACCTATCACCGATACCAATCTTTTTAAAGCCTTCTTTTTATCATTTATAACTACACTGAACAAAATTATAAATGCAACACTTTTGTTTTTGCCCCCATTTTTCATGAGCTGAACTCAAAGATCTAAGAAATTGTTTTTCTATGTACACAAAAGGCCTATTTCTCTCAAATATTGTTCACAAATCTGTCTAAATCTGTGTTAGTGAGCACTTCTCCTTTGCCGAGATAATCCATCAACCTCACAGGTGTGGCATATCAAGACGCTGATTAGACAGCATGATTATTGCACAGGTGTGCCTAAGGCTGGCCACAATAAAAGGCCACTATAAAATGTGCAGTTTTA